GCAATGGGCCAAATTCGCAAACGAGATATTGTTGGCTTTGCACTGTTTGATCGTAGCATGTTGCAATCCAAACCCATCTTAGTGGTGTTGTGCAATCATCAATCGATGCCTGATATCGATCAATAATCTATTAGTCTATATTTAAAGATCTGATGTTATGCACGCACCGGGTAAACGCCAACCCAATCTAGGTAACTTCCTCGCCGTGACCAATAGCCGTTCATATGTTGGAATCGACCGATGAGAGGTACTGTAGTGTACCACGTTGGTAGCTGCTCAAACAGAACATCCCAACTTATCGTCTGCATAGGGCGCAACTGAAACAAAGTTCAGTCTAATATAGATTCAGTGAATACGCAACCTTACGTACCCTCATAGTGAAAATTGCTTGAACAGGCAGATGATCGCTGACTAGTACTTGGTTGTTAGAAGTGTAGCTCACTGGCGTAATCGAATTGCCCTGAGCGACAAAAACTAGTCAATTGGTAGTCACGAATTTATAACAGAGGAAAAGATGTTTCGTCCGCAAGAGTACATAACAAACATCTGATTTACCTTGTATAAGACGCGATCGCACCAAGATGGAGTGCGTTTCAAATCGTAATCAGTGCTGCCGACATAAAATCTGAAATTAATGTAATTAGAGGTGAAGTAATCCCACCCCCCTAACCCTCCTCCTCTTGTAATTGTTTTTCTTCTGCGCCCAATTCAAGTCAATTTCTTCGAACCTTCACTATTGCTTTAAGATAATTCGCAATAAATACGTATCATAAGCATCGTTTGATTAACTGACAACTGAAACTGAATTATAAATCAACCAAAGCATACCGATAAGTTGGTGAGAATGTAATCGGCTGCTCAGTAAAATCCACGAAGGCTTCCTTCTTACGCATTGCTCGTTTAAGCTGCTCATTGGAATCTTGAACTCGACTGGATCAACCATCGAAGTAAACATGTCAGAGCTTCTCACCCAGTAAGTCATTTTCCTTTTTAGCTTTGATCATGTCCGAAACCAACTCTGGTTCTTCTTCAACTCGAAAGTTGAGATCGCCAAGCCAAAATACTGCTCTTTAA